TTCCTACCCCTTTAATTCTTTAGCCATTTTCACACTTCTGGTCCTTGCAGTCAAAACTTTTACATTTTTTTGGTCCGGGCAAAGCCCGGACTTTTCATCCTTGCACTTTCTATGTTTGTCATATTTATCAATTCGGAAACAACATTGAAAGCTTCTGGCCCCCGCGTAGCAGGGGTAACATTTCTAGTTTAAATAAAACGTTTGTAACCTTAACAATGTATTTTCTTTAAAAAATTTCTTTTACAAACTACTAAAATAGTGTTACGAAGAACTCTATTATTTGCTTTTTGAATTTGAATAAAAAAGATTTGTTATATTTTATAAAAACAATATATCTTATAATTGAAAATGAACACCTAAAAAAATATTTTTCCAAAAATTCCTTTTAGAAATTCACTAGTATAATGAGTAGAAGTATTGTTTAAATTTTTATGATTTTTAGAGAAATTTTTTTTCTAGGTTTTTTTTATAAAAAATAAAAAATAAAAAAAATATTTTTTTTTCAAATTTTCATGATTGTGTTCACTTTGTAGAGAATTAAATTTTAAGAACTTTAGTTCTTAAAATTTAATATGCATGAATGGAATTTTCTTATAGATTAGTTGATTACTGATTAGTTAATGCACCAGAATGAGATGAGAAGACATTAACATCTTAAAAAACTATTCAAATCTTTACTTTTCTATGATTCTTGTTGCACCATTGACGCATTTAAACTCCTAATGATAAACTTATGACAACTTATTTATCAATTGAGTAAAACTATAAGTTTATCTCTAAAAGTGAAGTGTTAGTTCTCTTTTGTATGTGTATGAATAACAAGAGTAAGGAAATTAGTTCAATTACCAATACTTTATATTAAATTTTTATTTATCTTCGTAGAGAAACTATGATGAGTTTAATTAACACTAAATGATGTAGACAACATAAATTTTCTTTTCATTATGGTTTTTGTGGATTTAGAAGATAATGTTAATTAGCATTATAATCAATTGAATGTGTGATTGAAAATTATGTTGGACTGGGAAAAGACGAAGACGTGAAATTGTCCTACTACTTTGTTGAGTCTCAAAGAAATTCACAAAAAGATTTGTTCCTCTTTTATCTCGCCAGCAGCGTTAGAACTTCCAGCGACCAACAACTACATATGTTCCACTATTTTGCAAATCTCTATTTTTGGATTGGTTATGTGCATTGTGTTGCTTATCATTTAAGACACCACGGATGAACTTAGTAATATCAAATCATTCATTTTAATTCTGATCGAATTTTCATTATTACTTATAAATATTTTTGTTTTTTATACAACCTTTGGTTTGGTTGATAGGAAGAGAAAGAGAACAAGTGAAGATCTTTAAAAAATGATAACATTCTTTTAATAATGAAGAGTATTTTCTCAAGAATGAAGTAATTTTTTTAAAAAATGAAGCATGTTATTGTGTATTCTTTCAAGAATGAAATGTTTATTTGATGAAGATTGTAATTCTTTTTAGGAATAGTTATATTTTAGTAGAGTTTTTATTGAATTTGAAGTAAATACTATGTTCCGGCATATTCTTTCAAGAATGAAGTATGTTATTTGATGAATGAAATTGCATGTATTCTTTAGGAATTGTTATAATTCGACATATTTTATATTGTTTGTTGATATAAAAAATTTCTATTTTCCAACCTATTCTTTGAAAAATAATAGCAATTCCTTCCTTATAATTTTAAGAATGAAAATTGTATTCTTTAATATAATTTCAAAATGAAGTTAATACTTGCTTTTGTAAATTTCCTAAAGTTTGGTTCGAACCTGATAAAAAAAAAAAGTCAAACAGGATCTCATAAAATTTGAAATTTTCTAAAATAAGAATACATAAAATGTCCATAATACCCTTTCATGCATTTTATTTGAGTAAAATATAATTTTGCTTTTTCATTCTATCAAAAATCATGATGATTTTTATTAATCCAATGGCCGGGATCAAGTTACACGGTTATACAATATTTATTAGTTACAAATGAACATATATATATATATATATATATATATATATATATATATATAACGTTTTTAATTTTTTTTTATTTAAACGTTTTCATACATGTAAAGATAAGTTTTTGATAATATGAAGATTGTTTGGTTTAACGTGAAGATGGTGATGAAAATTGACGTGAAAACACTCTCGAGCTTAAGTGTTTTGAAAGATTGATATCTTGTATTCTCTATATCGAAGAGATGTACTTTTGGTTCCTTTATCTGATTAAATCCTTTGTATAGATCGTGTTAGTTATGCATGTTGAGTATGATCGTGTTAGTTAAGCATGGTCTGTTCGTTGTACCAAAAAGGCATATTTTTTTGTGACTTTATCTCATCATTCATTAACTTCAAGTCTTCCAAGCAAGCTTTGTTAAGATACAACTAACTTGTTTATTACTTGATTTATGTTTATGTTTTAATTGTTGTTCTTATAATTTTCGTTTAACCGTACTTCATTCAGCATATTATTTATTGTTGAGTTGTTAAAGATTCGGTAAAGAACTTTTATTCCGCATATGTTCTATCATCTTCCAGTTTTTTTTTTCTCAACAACATATAAATGTGTTTAAATGAAAAAGGACTTAAGAAACATTTTCTAAGATATAAAAATATATAAATACGTTTTTCATATATATTTTTTATATTTATATGTATTTTGTAACATCACAAAATGATAATAAAATATTTCATTTTTAATTAAAGAGAAATTATTGTTTTCAATCAAACCCAAATCATAAGAACCCAAGATCAAATACAAATGTTCTAAAATCAATGTATCATAATATCTCCAATATATATCACCAAAGGATGTGTACGATCAAGCCTTTGATTTTCCCTGATCACCTGAAATACTTGAAACATAAAACTTGAACTGTAAGCCAAAGCTTAGTAAGTTCCCCCAAAGTACCACACACAACCAATACAAATAACAACATGCATATATGAGCCTTCAGCTTGACTAGACCACCTCGCAGGGCCTACACTATCTGGACCGCTCTCCGGGCCTTCGGTCTGACTGGACTGACTCGCATGCCTTCAGTCTATTCGGACCGCCCCGGGTATCTTGGCATTCAGCACAAAGCAGGACCGCCTCAACCCAACAAACCATAACATGTCGACATATACAATAACAATCAATGACCATCAACACATGTAATCATACATGTCTACAATCTAACACATACTTAGTGAATGTAGGTAATTATACAAATCTACCAATCTAACGCATACTCAGTAAACACAGGTAATCATACATATTTACCAATCTAACACATACTCAGCATAACATCAAGCCAAAATACCAGGATACAAAATCCAGTGGGCCGACCTTAGTGCCTTCGATCCACAAGTACAGTGAGAAAAACTCACCTCACAGTCTGAAATGATAGCAGAAAAGAGCGTTGCTCCAAATGTTAACTCTACATGTCATATATACAACAAAAAATGACCTAGTCTCAAACTACTGCTCAAAATACCCAAAATACCCCTAGCTCAAACTTGGTCAAAATCCTTGTCAAAGTCAAGGTCAAAAAGTCAAAGATCCCTTCTGGGTTGCGTACGCCTATCGTACTCCCTTCTACGCCCAATGTAGAGGGTGCTTTCATAATCCACGGGCTCGAACCCTGGTACGCGCAACATACCTCCAGGTACGCCCAACGTATCAGAGTTGAATATCAAATTTTCCATTAAGCTCTTATTTCGTTAAGTCAGAGCACCAAACTTATGATCCATATATCAAGGGACGTCTTAATGGATAAAGTCTCCGACTTTATCCATTTGCATGCATACAAGAGGGTAAAAACTCAAACCCTTGGTCCAAAAGTCACCTAAAACTCCCAAACTCTTGCATGACTTAATGAGAGTGTTCAAGCTCTCATTTTTATGAATCTAGAAGTTCAAAACTATAGGAACCTACATTTTAAGGACCTGGAGTAGCTCATACTCCATTAGACTAAACTATAGGACCAAAAATGCATACAACTTCTAAACTGACAAGATCTAAGCAAATAACATATCAAGATCCAAGCTTTATACCTCCAAATGAAGCGTGAGGGCAAGATACTTCTGGATCCAAGATGCCTTGAGCTTCCAAATTGATTCCACTTCTTTTTTCTTCCTTCAAGATCACTAAAAACACACTTTTAAGCTCAAAATGCACACACAAAGAATTATGGTTTGCTAGGGACGATTTGGGAGATGGAGGCTGTTGGGGGAAGATGCCTTGAAGAGATAATGATGCTTAAATAGGGTTCAAACCCTAAAAATTAGGGTTTAACCATCAACCGCTTACGCCCAACGTAAGCTGGAGTACGCCCAACGTACTAGGCACATACACGTTTTTCATATAAAGAGCCAAGGGACCAATTTTGAAAATAAATTTTATACTAAGGGTATAAATGAAAAATACCTAGATCAAAATGTTACATATTTTTATGTATAAATACGTTTTTATATGTACAATAAGCATTTAAAATATATTTATATATGTATTTATTTAATAATATTAATAATAACAAATTTAAAAAATATATATATATATATATATATATATAATAAGATATTTGCGTTTTCAATAAAATAATAATAATAATAATAATAATAAAAGTAAAAATTAAATGTTTTTGCAAAAAAATTATAATATTTTTGGTCAGTTTACAAAATAGTTCAAAATTAATTTGTTACCGGCTGAAAAAAATATCAAAATACAATATTTTATCAATTTTTAGGACTCTTTTCTAAAAAAATAATAATTTAAAAGTATATTGTAAACCGATGTAAAATATTAAATTTTTTCTAAAAGATTTCTCAACATTTACTTATATTTTAATATATATATATATATATATATATATATATATATATATATAAAAGCGAAAGAAAAAGAAAAAAAAAACAAAATAAAAGTAAAAGCGAAAGAAAAAGAAAAAAAAAAGTCAAAGAAAATTTATTTTAAGTCGGCACGTCCAAGAAAAAATGTCCGTACTTAACAGTTAACACGACCTATTTGGACTGGTTTAACACCTCTGTGAGACTGTGACACCTCTGTTGTACAGAAAAATTGATTTCTGATTTTAATGGCACATCAAACACCACCGATAACTTGGATATTTCATAAAGTAAAGAAAATTGACAACTATATAAACAAGCAAGTGTAGGATTTAACGATCGATCGACGATCAAGAAACGAAAGCAAGATTGCCACGCGTTTCTAATTCTGGATCGCTCAATCCCCAAAGAATCGTATCCTTCCAATCCAGCAATCTAGATCTACGATCTCCCCTCAGGTACATTTTCCATTTTCCTCGGATTTTTTCATAATTCATACTCATTTTGCTTATCTTCCATCCCCAATTTCTGTTTTTGCATTGAGATTCATTTTCCATAATTTCCCATGTTTACAGCTGTGAATTTTGGTTTTCGATTGCTATGTCGGTGGAATCTGCCATCACCAACAACGATAACGGTGCTTCTGTGTTCAACAATGGCGAAGAGAAGAAACCGTTTAGGATCTTCGTAGGTTACGACACACGGGAAGATCTGGCTTACGAGGTGTGTCGGTATTCGATCCTCAAACGATCTTCGATCCCCGTCGAAGTTATCCCCATCAAGCAATCTGAATTACGAGAGAAGAAATATTTTTGGCGCGAACGTAATAAACTCGAAAGCACTGAATTCTCATTCACGCGCTTTTTGACGCCATTCTTGGCGAACTACGAAGGGTGGGCGGTGTTCGTTGACTGCGATTTTCTGTATCTCGGAGACGTGAAAGAATTGCATGATCTGATTGATGAGAAGTACGCAATGATGTGTGTGCAACACGATTACACCCCGAAAGAGACGACGAAAATGGATGGGGCTGTTCAGACGGCGTACCCACGGAAGAACTGGTCATCGATGGTGTTGTATAACTGCGGCCATCCTAAAAACAAGATTCTGACGCCGGCGATTGTGAATCAAGAATCAGGTGCGTTTCTTCATAGGTTTCAATGGCTAGAAGATGGTGAAATTGGGTCAGTTCCCTTTGTTTGGAACTTTCTTGTGGGTCATAACCAGGTTGTTGATGGTGATCCGAGTACATACCCAAAAGCAATCCATTATACTTCTGGAGGGCCATGGTTTGAGGCATGGAAAGATTGCGAATTTGGGGATTTATGGTTAAAGGAATTGGAAGAGTACAAGAAGGTGAAAGAGAAAGAGAAGAAACTTGGTTAAGAAATGTGTGAATTGTTTCATGTTGCACACCAACTGTTTGACAATATGTTTCTAAGATTTGCTTGATTGTTCTTCATTAATGCCCCTTAAAATGATTGATTTTTAGGTAGGAATTTGGGTTTATTAAGCTATTTGTTTGGGTGTAATTTCTTCATAGTGTATTCTGCTTTGTGTTGTAATAATAGCAAACTTCTTTTTATAAGCATCCCTACCTATGGTTTGTCTCAAGCTTCTCTCTGGACCTTAACGGACTTCGGTTTTAGATTTGTTGGCTCGACCAAAAGATCGAAAGCCCAAAGCTAATTCCTATTTATCCATGATTTTGGTCAAAATCATTCAAGTGCTCTCACGGGTTTAATTGAGATCGTTGATGTGTCGTGGTGGTGAATGAATTTTTTTGAGATTGAACATTATGTAATTGCCATTAGCATTTGTTAAGATCGAGTTCTCGATCTTGATCTTACGCTCTAAAGATCTTACAGGAAAATATAGATCCCGATCACACAAGTACATATTCGAAAGCGAGATCTATATTGGGATATTTACATCCCAATAAATATAGATATGATACTAGGGTTGTAAGATTATACCATTGATCTGATATCAATTTTTAGTAATTATTCTATAATCATATATTTAGTCTTCTAAAACCTACAAAATTTGTTATTTATGCTAAAAAAAACCCAATGCATAGGTGTGAATGGTAGTATAGGCATGTACTACCAGAATCACAAAATTCGTTTTTGGATCAGGAAGAGTCACAAATTTTAATAAGGCACTAGTAATTGAGTTTGTTTTTTTCGTTTCCGTTATTATCTATGTTATTATGATGACTAGGAAAATAGTTTTGGTTCAAACCCAAGTGGTCATGAAGGATCGAGTTTGAATACAATAAATCTGCGTAAGTGAGTTGAATGGTTCAGTGAACCATGTCCTGTGTAGTGACCGAATTTAGTTGGGAAATTGAAGAAAGAGATGATCGAAGTGATCGCCATAATTATTGCAACCTTCGTTAGGGCTGAGCAGCTAGCAACTAGAGATGCTACCTGCTATGATATGGTTGAAGGTCGTTCTTCCTTGCCCAAAGGAGGCAGGATCGGGTTGTTAACACAAGATATAAGGTGTCTTCCGTGTTAATGTCTTTTTGTAGATACAAGAGTTTAGTTCGTTAGGTAACTTTTGCGTTATGCAATGGAAGGTCATTAGAGTATGACCATTCGGTTTGTGTTGTAGTTGAAGTAAAGACCACATTGGGACGAACATATGAACCAATTTAGAAAGGAGCAGTAGTCTCCGATAGAAGGCAAGATTGTGACTCAAGAGTTAGACTAAAGGTCCGTAGGTGGATGAAAGAACAAGTGCAGATTCAAGCACCACCATCAATAAATTGGTTCAAACCTATAGATTTTCGTTCAAGAAGCTAGGGGAGCTACAACCATCGTAGCTAGTATATAAAGGCGCATGCAAGCGTCTTTTGTGTATTTTACCCAAATGCTTCAAGAGATGATCGGAAGGATCATTACAAGAAGATCAAATGAGAGCGCGACAAGGTTAATCGTCCCAGAAAAGAGGGAAGAAAGTAAAACAAAATATTTGCCACACAAAACCCGTAGGTATCATTATCATATATATATATATATATATATATATATATATATATATATATATTTATATATATATATATATATATATATATATATATATATATATATATATATATATATATATATATATAATCATTACATGATAAGGTTACATTCAATTATTATTATCCGTATAACAAACTCATAATTCAAACTATTCTAGATTATCTTCTAACCTTCGGTTTACATTCCCCCTCAATCTTAACCGAAACAAGGTTTAGATTGTATCTCAGACGGTCAAGCATGTTATGAGTTTTATGAAGTGCATCAATTTCAACTTTTATGGCTAGTCGCCATGTCGGGTCCAAAAAAGCCTGGCGATGAGAGGTAGTGTTAGGACATGAAGCTTGATTTGACATTGCAGAATGTAGAAGCGCATAATCGAAAGAAATAAATTAACATTTAAGCACAATGGTTATAGATAAAATGGAGTAGAATAAAATTTGTAGTAGCATGTGCTTGCTCCTACAATACTCTCTCTGTAACATCCCAAAAATTATGAGGTAAAAATTTCATTTATAATTCAACCAAAACATTAGTTATCTTTAAGTCAACATTCAATATCTACTTATCCAAATATTCAAAAGTACTTTTATAAGAAAACAGTTATCAAAGTACAATCCCAAAATCATTATAATGTGGAAACATGAGTGGATGTGCTGCCTTAAAGTCGTGCCCTTCCCTTTCGAACCGGAAGTTCCTGAAACCATAACCATAAAAACCGTAAGCACAAAGCTTAGTGAGTTCCCCAAAATACCACATACCATACATAATAACCACATACTGGGCCCCCGCCCTTCATCGGGCCCTGCCCGACATTGAGTCCCATCCGGCCTCGGGCCCCACCAGGCATCGAGCCGCGCTCGGTTTACAGATCTTTTAATCACCAGGCCCCATCTGACATCAGGGCCCCGCCCGATACCTATAATCCTATAAACATTTAATCATACTAGCACATGCGATAATCACAAAGACAATAGCATACCATATAGTCATCGAGCCCCGCCCGACATCGGGCTTTTCCCGGTAAGCATAAAAACACATACTGATAACTAAGATACAGTATACTCATCAGGCCCTGCCTGACATCGGGCCTTGCCCGGTAAGCATACTATCACATAACACATGCAAGAGTCACACATACATCTAGCCTCCTAACATATAAACCATGGGCCGACATTGGTGCCTTCGACCCGCTAAACTCAGTGAGGAGACTCACCTCAAACTTCTGAATCGCACAGATAAAAGCTCGAACAACCGATCCAGAAAATCCCTCGCGCTAACAACATCAAATAATACCAAATAAAAAATTGCTCCTCAACCCATAGCTGGAAACCTAATTAGACTGCCCAATACTCAGGGTAAAAGTCCATTTTACCCTTTCCTCACTTGGCCCAAAATCCGAAGCCCAAACCAAAAGCAACAAAAAGCCCAATATGGCCCAATTTCAAAATTGGGCCCAATACCCTAAAAGGCCCAAAATATCCATTGGTCAACCCTGGTCAAACTTCTGGTCAAAGGTCAGGGGTAAAAAGGTCAACAAATAAAGAAAGCCCAAACAGACTGAGTATGCCCCACGTACTCAGTTGGTACGCCCAGCGTACTCCGGGTTGACTCAGTACGCGCTGCGTACCAAGCGGTACGCCCCACGTACGCACCCAACTCACAATCCACTTAGAAAAGGTCTTAATCCCTTAAGCCAAAGCGTCCAATACTCAGAACTTGCTCCAAATCATGCCTTAATCCATAAAGTCGCTAACTTTGAGCTTTTACATGGCTCAAAGGGTCCCAAATCCAAGTTCTAACTTTACAACTTCAAAAAGGAGCTAATACACATGCATGGGTTGATATCATCCATCAAGATTGCATTTTTACGCATTTAGGACACCTAAAATGTCCAGATCTAGTGACCAAAGTCCTAGAGCAATCTCATACTCATAAAGATAATCCAAAGGGACCAAAATGTGCCACAAACCACCCCAAAATCGATCTACCCAAAAAAATATGTAAAGATTAAAGGTTTTTACCTTCAATAGGTTGTAAAAGATGAGTAACTTCTGGATCTCCAAGCTCCGCTCCAAGTGATGATTCTTCAGCAAGCTCCAAACTCTTCAAAATGCTCAAAAACACTCCAAGATTTCTCACAATGGATTAAGAACTCCAATATGGTGGCTAAGGGTCGAAATTAGGGTTTAAGAGGTATGGATGCTGATAAGAGGCAAGGCTCAATGAATAAAAGAAGCTTAAATAGGGTCAGGACCCTAAAATTTAGGGTTTCTAGCTGAAGGGAGTACGCCCGACATACTCAAATGTCAACCGCGGCCAATACACCCACTACGCCCCGCGTACACAATGACTACGCCCCGCGTACTAGACCAGCTCCAAATTACTTCAACTTCATTCGGCCATAACTCCTTCGTTCTAATCCCGTTTCCAACGATCCTTATATCCACGAAAAGGTAACGAGAAGCTCTACGCTTCTATCAACTCCTACTTTCCTTAAAACTTCCCAAACTAAAATCTAATTTCCATAAAATCCCAAACTAACACTTTACTGATATACCCATTTGGCTCTGAAACACAAACCGAACTCACGGATCATCTAATCTACATTATCCACACCCAAATGGGTCTAAATCTCTTTTTTCCTCAAAGGCCCTAAGCATGATGATAGGCAATCTTCGGTCACCACCCCGCATTAGGAAATGATTCGGAACAGGGCGTTACAACTCTCCCCCACTTAAATTAGATTTCGTCCTCGAAATCACTCCTTACCATCCTCCTGGAAACCAACTCTTCGACCAAAACCTTCTAGTGCTGAAGAAAACCCTGAAACCAAAACTGCCGATCCAACACGATACTGCTAAAATTCCAAAATCCCATCACTTGCCTAACCTCGACACAGGTGGAACCAATCTGAAACATAATCACAAGATTCTCGACCAAAAGCCGACTCGATACATAACTCATAACCTGAGATCCAAGGATTTACACTTGCATTTCACCCAAAAGCTTCTGATTCTCGGCATATACTCTTTAAACTAGGATATAAGAATCCCCAACCACCGCTAAGACTACCAGTCTCACACCTGGTCCAACCACCAGGCTCCTAAGAGTCCAACCGATAAGGCTACCCTAGCCTATGCAGCACGTTATGCCACACCCTGGCCACATAATCATCCTACTAAAACCATAATCCAATTCCTTGACCCAACCGGTCTCTACCAGGTCTCACCTGTATTGCCATAATCATACAGGCCTCGCCTACGGGTCTCACCCCATCGAGAGCTACACAGACCTAACTTCGCCTCGGACCCCAATGGTCCTCTTCCCATAACAGAGAGAGATGCTCTCCGACCCCACTGCTGCCCGCCTTTACCAAGGCACGAGCTGATCCTCCTTTATACTCATGACCACCCCAATGATGGTCTACCTCAATATGGTGAATGATACGATCCCATCGCAGACTTACAACACTTTCATACTATATGTTGATCCAATGAATGCTACAGCCACCCCGCAGTCTTACGACATG